TTGAGGCAGCATTGCCCGGGGAAGAGGCGGAAATGAGAGAGGAACTGAAGAAGCAGGGGGGTAAAGGAAACCTAATTCCACCCTCTATGATGGCCTTGGTATAGAAAGGCATGGCATCCTCGGCCCCGAGGGTGGAAGAGTGCACCACCGGGTCGGGATCCTCTACGCCTACGAACGGAGGAATGTCATACTTGGCCCTAAACCTATCGATCTGCTCATCGCCTTTTACCTTATATTTCCCTGACCCCGAAGAACCAGCCCGAGGATTCTCGGGAGCAGGGCGACGACGAGGCATCTCTAAAAAAGCAAGAAAGAAGAGGGTATTTGCTATGTATCGACCGGGGGTTAAATCGCTGTGTATCGACCGGATGACGCCTCCAGTCAATCGGAAAACAAAAGGGTAGGAAGAAAAGAAAGAGGATTCTGAAACTCACCCGAACGTCAAAATGGAGTTTTTCTGGAAAACCTTAAAGCGACTCCCTCCTGAAAGTTCAGAAATCAACAATGGGTCTGCCGGCTTTTAGATTTTGAGGAAGAATGGGCAGTCGACGATGGCAGAAGAAAACAGAAACTCCGACGAAGAATCAAGAAGAGGTACTCTGGAGAAAGTTCGAAATGGCAAAACGAGGAAAACAGAAGAGGAACCCCCTTTATATAGGGGTAATTCTCATCATTGGGCGCGAAAACCGAAACGGCGCATTTAATGCGCACGACATCCCAAGCCGGGGAAAGCGGCTCGAGGCCATGATGAAGGACGGGTGGTAGTTGGGAAACCCTTCGTCTCCTTACGACGCGTGTCCTCGGTGTCAGAAGATCGAAGGCTGGGGGGCAGTTGATGGGACTTTTCTGAAAAACCCTATGATGAAGACACGTGTCCTCGGTTTACTAAAACACTGTTGCTAGGATCATCACCATCAGGCGTACGAATGCCCTCGCCCCCGAGGTACCGTCATCTAGGATCATACATTCAGTATATTTTACAAGCGACACGTGTCCTCGGTCAGATACGTACCTCGGTCGGCATGATTCCCTCGGTACCCCCGAGATCCGCCTTTCCTCGGTGCCGAGGGATCCCCCGTCCTGGACGATTCCTCTATTCCAGGATAAGCTATTGGCGTGCAGGACATTAGCCTAGGCTAGTCTGGGCTACTCATCATGACCTCGTCTTGCACAAGTAATGTCAGAACGTACCGGAATGCAGAGGTCACAGCCAATAGGGGATGGACGCGTGACATATGATGTCACATCAGAGACAGACAAACCGCATGCCGCTGCTGACACGCGACTTGGGAAAGCAAACAATTAATTGTACCATTCCCTTGATGAGACCGCATTCAATGCGGTAAGGTTCGGAAATGAAAGACAATAAATGCTCCTGAGACAGAGCATTTATTGCATCCTCCCCGAGAGGATCACATTGTACCGTCGGCATCCCGACGACCCAGCATTGATTGCTCGAGACCCCGAGCAGTTAATTAGAGGAGACATTCCTCAACAGGATCAATGCACACGCAACCTGCACCTAATGATCACCTACTGACCACACTGACAGCAATCATGAGCTTTTAAGGTATAAATACTCCTTGCAAAAGGCAAAGCGGGTATGCAACAACAAACTCTCTACTACAATACATTTTTCTCAGTGTTTTCTCCTTCCTCTCTCTCACTCAAAGACTGACTAGACCGTCGGAGGGGATACGCCGGAACACACTCCGGCGCCCTTCTAACTTGTTCTTCTTTATTCCAGGAAACCCTTTCACTCACACATGATCGCTCTTCCTTTCCCAGGGTCTTCCGTTGCCGTTCCAGGTTACCACCGTACCTTGTAGGCTGTCTCAAGCAGCGTGTTTGACCATTCAACCGGCTCATTCAAAGTTCACCAAGGGAGAGATCTGTTCCCGTTTTTTATATTGTGCAGGATCTTGCACGCACATAATACATATCAAAAGATGACCGGTGCATGAGATACATTGAAAAACAAAATCAATATTAAATTTAGGTCCCACAATATAAATACCCAGACTAACGAAAGTACGAAAATTCTCTTAACTTTATTGATTCGTTTTGTCATTGAAACATTCAAATGAAGCATAATTTTGTTAAAAGTTTCTCGGGCACGTGTTGACACGAAAGATCATTTTTAGGAATTCTAATACTTTATGCATTATTTGCACAAAGCTCATTTAATGAAGGCCTAAACAAGCACATAAACCAATTACAATGACTCTCATGGCGTGATGTCTTTCTGCAAAAAGATTGAACTTCTTGTCTTCTTTTTCTCAAGTCTACCATACCATACCATACCACAATGATCTTGTCACAAGTTGAGTTTTTTCTTCATGAACAGCCTGAAATATAAGGGCATCGATTTGAAGCTGTGGTCATGAACAGTAAATACCAGGAAAGTACTTGGCCAGCTTGGTCAATGACCATGCTAACAATAGCAACAAACTATGGTTGTGAAATTATCAAGAAAAAACTAAAAAGAGGTCTTTTATAACTTTATGGCTGAACATGTAACGTTACAGTTGTCGCTTTCGGGTTAGTTAATGACAGGCAGCTATTTTTTCAAATTTGCATCTCAAATGAAGACATTATTGGATAAGTAAGTGCTATCAACTTTTTTTAAATGGGATCCACTAATTCAATTATTCCCTTCATTTGAGATGCAAATTTAAATTATAAATTTGAATTAGATAACGTTATTCTTCTAATAATGTAGTCTTTACTTTGAAACTAAGAAAATATTGTTTTTGGAATGTGTTGTTTTCAGGCTGATTATTCCTCGTAACTTTCTAAATCTCTTTTCTATGGCAATATTTGCCTCCCATTGAGGCTCCAGTCATAGTCCATGGACAGTAGCTTTCCCTCTGCCGGGGCCTTGTGCAGTAAATTCCCTACGGGCGATTGCCTGTCGTCTTAAAATAGTCCCCGCAAAGCTTTTGGGGAAGAGGGGTAGTCGTGTGTGTAAGCATTTCTAGTCGAACTTGCCCACTAAAAGAAAAAAAATACGCAGTTATAGGGTAGATAATTAGAGTTAGATGTGTCAAAATATGAGACGACTTGTTAACATGACACGAACATGATACGAAATTAAAGGATTTGAGTTTTCTTTAAAACAACCGTTTTGTAAACGAGTGGACATAACACGACACAACATAATTAATAAATGAGTTGAGTATGAGTGAGAATAATTAAAAGAAATACACAACACGATTTATTTCTATATCGATTATACATGATTTATACACGATACAAACGCGATATGATACGACTCATTAGATACGAATTAATAAACGAATTGGATATAAGTAGATTATTTTTTAATACGAACTCATTAAGTTCCAGCATATATTTGTCTTACCGGAGTTGATTGATAGGCCTAATTGGAGTTTTAGAGTTGCTACCCATCAATTAAAATAGGGTGATGGGTCACCGAATGTGTGGTCTTGAATTTGATTTTGACATTGAAAATGATTAGGGGTCAACTGAGTCTATAGGTGAAGGGATGAAAGTCCGAAGAAGGACTATGTTACAATAAAAACAGAAAGTAGGTTAAGAGTACCTGTCACAGCGCCCATTTAAAGACAGTTGTGGCATTCCTCAACCCATCCCACAAAATTTGAGTTTGATTTTGAAAAGGGCAGATGTCCTATGATATCAATTATGTGCCTAACTTATGAGAGACATGAAGATAGACCGAAAAAATAAAAAACAATATTTTCAATTTTTTCATCTTTCGATTGAAAATCAAAGGGATGGGTGATGGATCAAAACCCGGCTGAAAAAAGTTGCATTAGAGTAATTCGACTATTTTACAGATAAACAAGCCAAGTTTTACAAATTCAAGCCGAACTTTTAAGGCTTATTTTCTAAATGAGTCTAAAAAATTGTTCAATCTTGACTCGTTTAGAACACGAACCTAACTCAAGTCAAATTCTATTTGAACCGAATCTAAATAACTTAGCTTAATTATCGGCCCTAAGGGCCACTCGGATAGGATTCATGTGCCTGATAATGGGTTAATAGGTTTGCAGGATCACGGCAGACCTTTGGGCTATTATGGATTGAAGCTTGCACAGGGTATGGCATTCAAAAAGGCTCTTGAAAATACTTAATAATTTTTGAACCTGTTCGAAAGAAAAACTACAGAATGATTTTAGGACTTTTTTGTTTTTTTTGGAACTGGTTAAGTGTTCTTTAGTGTTATACAAAATTTTCAGAAATCACATGCTCTAGCCTGTTACTCAGTCACAATGTTCTCCACAACTTATAATGCTTGAGCTTAATATTAACATTAGGTTCTTATACCCCTTAATCAAATATTTTCAGATTACAAATTGCATGACTAAACATCTTGGCAATGATTATCCAGTCCAAGTAAACAGTGGTATATTATTGGAAGTCAATTTTAAAGCTTCAAATCAACTTATTTACAATGCTCGATAGAACGATCCAGATTCCACGCTATGTTGTGGGCTGGGGAGAGAGCTGCTTTGCGAAATTGGGCGTTCAGTGTTCTTATGGAGGAACCTAAGAGCAAGTTGGTAGTCTATACAGTGGACCTCTGATTAGATGGTGCCAATGCAACACACAACATCAACAAGTCTAGCCCTTAAGAATCAGCATGTAAAAGTTTGTAGAGAAGTTTTCTTTTTCTTTTTTATTTTTCCCTTATTTTTCTATAAAATCAAGACCCAAGAACACAACCAACAAACATGAAAAGCCCCTAGACCTTATCAATTGGTCCAATGTCTTCACAGACAAGAGTATATGACACGAACAAGCATAACCAGACAACTAAAAAACTATATGATTAATATTTCAGTATCCAAAAGTAACAGCAGACAAAACTGATATCCATTGGAGGTCCAAAAAATTAAGCAATTCACACAAGGGAGCAGAGCATGATCTGCAGACAACCCTGTTTTAAGTATCATTCTCAAAGATTAGAGCATGCTTGCATAATTTTAAATAAACACCCAATCATAAGGTTTAAGAGTTAAAGACATAGAACATACTTAAAATCCCTTGAGCAGACGAAATGGTCATTGTGTTGATGTTAACAATCCAATGGGCTTACCAGATGCCAAGCAAATTCTCTCCTTCATTGTGGTTAGCTTGTCCACCAAAAAAGAATGCGGCAAAGTCATCTGCTAGTGGTGCTCAGCTCAAGTCAAACTAGTCTACATCCCCTGCAATATTCTCATGACCATCCCCTTGTGTCCTCCTGCAAAAATAGATTACCAGAGACAAGCTGGCCTTATAACTCCCTGCTCCATTTTAATTGCCCCAATAAGGATCATTTGACCTTGGGCATGATGTTATACGAGCAGCAGGCATTTTCTGAAACAACTTGACTGGCTGATTTAGGTTAAACCCTTGAAACTCTCTCTTGCCTCCATGTGCCTTAACAACTTCAGGAACCAAGTGCTGATATTTGGTAACAAAATTCTCCAAGAAAGTCTTCTCTGTCATTAAAAACACCCTCATTAAGCTGTTATTCCACTCAAACAGATCTTTGGACATCAGAAGTTGCAAGACTGAGCACCTTGGAATAATCCTCTTCTCCAAACTAAGCAGAAAAAGGTTTGGGTGCTTGAAGATTGACGAAGGCTGAAAATTCAGATTTTGCACAAAGAAACTCATAATTTTCCTAAACTTTTTTGCCGAAGTGAGCATACAAATAGGTTGCAATTCAAATGCTAAAAAGAACTCATCTCTAGATAAACCAAAACTGCTTAAAACTTCTATTTTTTCTTCAAATTTTGATCTACTCAAGGATGACAATGAACGGAGGGCTAGAACAAATTTCATCTTTTTAGGATCAAAACCTAAGCTTGTAACTTCCTGAACTATCTCGCTAAATTGCTCAGGTCTTCGTAACAGCCATCTTGGTCGAAACAAGAACGACTTCACAATGTTGGCCTTGGGTACACCAAGGCTAATCAAAGTCCGAAAATTGGGTTCCAACATATTCTTCAGGTCACCTCTAATTATACAGATGTCTGCCCTGATGGCTTTCAATACATTCTCATCTGTGAGAACGATACGCTTAAGGACCTCTGTACCAGATATTAATCGGTTCTCTAAGCTTGCCTCAAGCACGGCTGGCCCTTTGAAGATTAACTTCACAATTTCCAAATCCGAAATGCCCAAAGATTGAAGAAATTCAAACTTGGGTTTCAAGTTTTTTTGTGGACAGTAGGAAAATATTTTTGGGCACCTCAATATCATATCTGTGATTTGTTCTTCACTGAAACCATAAGTGGTGAAGAATTCAACCACTGATTTTGCCTTTGACATCTCCAGAAACCTTGGCAATTTGTTGATAATTTTCACCAGTTTAGTGCCAGAAAATCCCAAAGAATCAAGTAACTCAATATTGTGTTTAAGGGTTTTGTTAGCATCAACCATAAGAATCGCTGGACGGCTAGTAATCAAGTTTCGAATGTCGGTCTCTTTCAACCCATGGGACTTCAAAAGTATCAAGACTGAATCTGATTGTTCCTTTTTTCCAATATTGAGCATCCTACATGTTGAACCAGCTGATTCTGAGGAAAACCCACATGAATTTGAGTAGAAAGAGGGCGCGAAAGATTGTGGGTCTGCTGAATTTTCGCAATTCGAAGTTCTGAGATATGGTGCTGAGAACAAAGAGCCATTGATGGTGCTTGAAACCCTAGGTTTTATACGTCGCAGATTTGGGGAGATTACATGAATCATTGACCCTAATAGTGAAATACAAAAGATTTCGAGTTCGAAATTTACCGAATTGTACGAGAACTTTGAGGATCGGATGGTGTTGAACTGCTCTGTCCCTGTAGCATTTTTGAGCTCTGGCCCTCCCTGTTTCTGTATTGGGTTTCGGTGGTTGAAGAGATTTACCAATTTGTCTTGACGGAAATTACTCAGCAGAATTTCTACAGTACATCTCCAATATATTAAAAAAACATTGTAACGTGGCACTTATTAGTATTGCCTTTCGTTGGTTTTTTCATCAGATTAAAAATAATAAAAACTAACAGAAAATCACATTAATCCAGTCTAATAATAGTTATTTAATCTAATTGAATGTTTGATTAGGAAATTATTTTATAGTATTATTGTTGAATTAACAAAAATACTCTCAAATAATGTTTGTTACTTTGATGGAAACTTAGTGGCAATGGTGGTGGTAGGGTGATTTCAAATAATATATATTTTTTTAAAGTACTCATGAAAAGTTATAAGTTTTTTTATAAAGTCACTTCAAACACACTTTTAGGGATTTATTTTTTTTCATTAAATTTGGAATGTTTGATAAAATAATATACTAAAAACTTATTTTTTTTTTATAGTAAAACTCGTTTTATTAATTAATATAAGTTTATTCTTTCTATTTTATTGAGAATTTATATGAGCAAAATATTTGTATTATATTTAATATCCGATATGCATGTGTATATTATATTTTACATTGTACATAATCTGGTGTGTAGAGTTTGACTTATACACAAAATACCAAATTATCGGATCCTTGTATAACATGAGTATAGGTTCACAATCCTAGATGGAATTGGACACACCATTAATATGATTGTAGTGTAATATTTCTGACATAGTCTGCCTTGACTGTAGGAGATTATTTGATGTCTCAGATTATTGCACTAGTACACTTTGTACATTGAACAGACATATGTTGAGGTTATTATCTTTTACTGATTCAATAAGATAATAAATACCTTATGATTATTATAATTGTTTATGCTCTTAATTTCGAAATTTTTTAATTGCCACGTTCATATAATGTTTGTCACTTTAATTCATTAAAGAGTGAGATTCATATTGAATCAATAAATTCGGTGAATTGGGAGACGATATTATTTGTATGGTAGAAATTAATTATTAAATAAAATCACGTCATAATATTTAAATGAGTTGATGATGTTGTCTTGAGGAAGCTCATAAATTTTGTTCATGTCAAACCCTGTAAGTGGATTTAATTATCTAACATGACAAATAAGTTGAGTGGTAAGATCTCAAGGAATAAAACAAGTCAATTAAATATAATTGTCAATAATTTATTTAACTGATAGACATTTATAATATTAAATGTGGTGAGATTATTAAACATATAATAATAAGTAGCTCGAATATAATTTTGATATAAGACTCATGAGATCAATAATAAGTTTTTAGCGGACTGATTTATTATTAATAGGCTGTAGAATGTTTGTTTAGTGTTGAATATAAGAATAGTAGGCCAATTGGAAGTTCGGTACTTATTTCTCCTTAGGATTTTTGTCGTAGCCTATATATAGATATCTAGGCTCTCTAGATTAACATATGTTCTTTACTCACGTTTTTTAGAAAAGCTGGAAGAGAGAGCAGAAGTTCAGAGGCTCTGACAACCCACACTACATCTAGATTTTGACGTTAAGGGATATACGACAGAAGGTTGCGAGATTTGTCAAGTTGTCTTCCACGTTTGTTGTTAGGTTCTGTGTTTGTGCTGAGTCAAGATCACTCTAGGGCGATCTTGAAGGTAAACCTTAATTCTGTCTTATAGGGTTTTAAAGAAAAAATTTTGGTATTCGATATATACACGTTGTCAATGATTCTTAAAATTTTCGTTCAAACACTGTTAATATTAATCGTCGGATTAACTTTAAAGTAAAATTTAAAGAAATTTCAACTGCAAAAAAAAAGAAGTTATTTTGTTTATCTTTTGAGATTTGAATTGTATTGTAATTTATTATATAAATTAATTATTTGCCCATGCTTGAACATACGAAGCAAATAAAAAAATGGTCAACAATAAATATATTTACAAACACCAAAAATCAAATCACAAACATAGAGGAGAGATAAAAGAATTTAAACACCATATATAGTGGATGAACGATGGTAGTGGTGGTGAGTGGCAGTAGTAGTGGTGGGAGATGGTGATGTTTGTGGTGGGTGGCGACGGTGATGGTGGTGGTGGGTTTTGGTTACGATGGTTGTAGTGATAACCATGGGTGACGGTGGTGGTGGTGGTAGGCGGTGGTGATAGTGGTTGATAATAGTGGTGATGGCGGGACGACAATAGTGGTGATGGCGATGACAGTGATGTGTCGTGATGATGGTATTGGTGGGTGACGACGGGTGCTTATAGGCAACAGTGTGATGAGTAGTGACGAATGACATAGTGGGTGGTGGTGGTAGGTGTCGTGGGGGTGGGTGACAGTGGCTATGGTGGGCGACAACGGGTGATGGGTGAGTTGTGGTAGTGGGTGGCGGTTGGGCAACAATTGTGGCGATGGGTGACGATGATAGTGGGATGATGGTGATAGTAGTAATAAATATAAGAATGAGATAATGAAGGTAATGGATCATGGTGGTGTAGCAACGGGGGTGGGGGTAGGGGTGAGGTTGGGGCAGTGATAGTGGTGGTGGTGGCGATGGTCGTGGAGGTGGTGGTGGGACAGTAACAGTTGTGGTAGGATGACGACAATGATGGTGGTGGTGGGGCGGCATTGTTGGTGGTAGTTGTGGTGGTGGTGGGGTGGTGGTAGAGTGTCGACATTAATAGTTATGGTGGTGGTGGTGGGTGGTGGGTGTGGTGGAGTGAGTGTGACAACAGTAGTGGAGGTGGTAGGGATAATGATAAGATGGTGACGACAATGGTGATGGAAGTAGTGGTGATGGTTGGGGGGGGGGGGCGATGGTGGTGTGGCGGTTCCAAACACTATTTGTTTTTTTAAAGTATTTATGAGAAGTTATAAGTTTTAAAATTATTTTTAAAAAGTTAACCCAAATACATTTTTAGGGGTTTATTTTTCCTATTAAATTTGAAATATTAATATTAACTGTTAGATTAACTTTAAAATAAAATTTAAAGAGATTTCAACCTCGAAAAATAATTTTTTTTTGTTTATCTTTTGGTATTTGAATTGTATTGTACTTTATTATATAAATATAATGATGAAAAATTATCATGCAAAACAAATGTTAAAATATACTACATTGCTACTACTAGTTTTATGTGATTGACTAATCCATGAATTCATCTAACCAATTCATCCAAACAAAAAGGTCCTTTGGAGGCCGGTCTGATTTTGTAGATTTATTTGAACTTAAGTATACTCAAAAAATTTATTTGAGGATAAGTCTATATTGATTTCCATTTCTCAAAATATCCTCAATAGTTATATTTAATCAAAACTTGTTTAAAAAAACTAACAATTTATAAATTGAGAATTGTATTAATATTAACAACTCTTAACTTGAAAATTGTGTTAGCATTAAAATTATGTTTCTATTATATATATATATAGTAATATTAAACAGTAACACGCTAAAAAAAAAATAGTAAAATCATACAGTAATATGGTCAACAAAAAAAGAGTAGTACCAAACACTAACATGTTCAATAAAAACTTAATTAAAAATTTAATCATTGTAATAGAGTGATACCCCCACAACATAATAAATACTCACATATGATGTCAGTCTATTGCAATAATTAAATTTTTAATTAAATTTTTTTATTGAACATGTTATTGTTTGATGTTGCTATTTTTTTGTTGAACATGTTACTGTTTGACGTTATTGTTTTTTTTTGGTTGAGCGTGCTACTATTTGATGTTAATATATATATATATATATATATATATACACACACACACACACATAGACATACATACATATAGATATAACAGAAAAATAATTTTAATATTAGCACAATTTTCAAGTTATGAGTTTTTATATTTAAAAATATTGAAATTAACAATGATAGACAATATTTATGATAAGGGTAATTATGAAATACATTTCAAAAAGAATTTGAAATGTTTTAAAATGTGTACTTATTGACAGCTACTTGATGAAAAAGAGGACTTAATGAAGTATAAGTTTGAAGGTGATATTTAAAGCCAAATGAATTCTAAATAATGTACCCACAACTAATTATCCGAAATAAAGGAACAACAACCCGTGGGCCAGTCTCCTGTTGGGGTGGACCGACCTAGGGTGAGAAACGCCGGAGGTTCACGGCCTGATAGTCCCCAATATTTTTCATGCTACTCCATTAGTGCATGTGATTTTCTAAAGATGCATTTGATAATGTTTTTGAGTTTATAATTTTTTTTAAAATAATGGAACTAGATTTTATTTTTTGTGATAAAAATAAAAAATAAAAAATATGTTTAATAGTCATTTATATTTAAAAAATTATAAAAATTAAAATAAAACACATGTTTGGTATTACAGTCGTTTTTGTTAATTTTTTAAATCCCAAATAAGTTGCTCCTCAACATACAATTAGAGATGCATCACCCAACACCACTTAAAAAACCACAGCCCAACACTATCGAAAACCCACCACCACCAACCCTGAAATCCACCACCAAAAAATTCACCACCAAACTCCCTAAATACCCACCATCAACATCATTTTACCACCACCGAAAGTAGATCTAAAAGATGGTAGACGAGATGAGCCTCCTTGATCGTCAGTACAAGGGAATTGTCAGTAAGGGTTCGGGGTTAGGGAAGGGGACCAAAGTGATTTTTGTCTAAAGAGTTGTTTTTTCATTTGTGCCCTTATCTTTCAAAGCACGATGACAAAAATGCCCCTTAATAGTCTCATGTGGCAAGCACATGACATTTTTTGTCTATTATTTGGACGGACGACAGTTAGGGGTAAGGACCAAAATGAGTCAATGTATTAACATCAAAGATAAAATTGAAGAAATTAGAACTTTAAGAACAAAAATACAACAAATGACAAACCTCAAGAACCATTTGTTACAATTTACCCTTTTGTTTATGTTACTTTTGATGGACATGGGAACACTTTGATGGAGAAGGAACTGAAGAATATTTTTGCATTTTTAGAGCAAAATGACAATTGGATGACTCTTGTAGTTACAATTTTGTCCCTAGTTACCATAGTATAACATATCTTTCAAATCAAGACCCATGTTCTCTCTTTCTCTCTTCCCCCCCCGCCCTCTCTCTCTCTCTCTGATTGTAGAACCATCATCATCCACGTCACTCTTGTGCTTCCATTCCTACTTGCATGCCAAGGTCTATACTTCCTCAGCATGATCTGTGGCGTCCTTTCTTCTTTTTCTTTAATCTATTTGCCCATTTTATATCTAGCTCTTGGACTTTCATCTTTCTTCTCCTTCTCTAGAACCGCAACCACTCTCCACTCTCTCCATGCCAATAAGACCATTAGGAGAAGTAAGCACCGAGCTCTAAGATATAACACCTTAACTATTCACTATAACTTATCTAAATTTATACAACCTTGAAAAGTAGAAACTTCACACACACAAACCTTTCTTTAGACCAAAAATATAATATAACCAACACACCAAAAAGATTTGAAAATAGACATATAGGTGTATGGAATATATAACACCTGACTCAAAATAATTAACCCATTAACCCCGTATCATAAAAATCAATTATTTTAATCTTTGTAATTTATTGTTCAAATAAGTATAATATAATGCTCACTAAATAATTCTCATAATAAATATAGCATATGTAACTCTCTCTCTTTTTTTTTTTAGGTAAATAGCGTATGTAATTTATCGCCATTAAATTTCACCATAAATCGGTTTAATGTAAATATAACATAATGGGTATATAAATAGTCGACATATAAATTTTATTTTTGTTAAAATACACCAAAACATTACATCCATGATTTGGGAAGTTGTTGACCAAGAAATGCTAAGTGTTTGTCCTTATAAAATATACATCAACGTGTCCTAGCTGACCAAAGAATTTGCCGGAACATGAAGGAATTTAAATTGTGGATGGTTGCATGAACAAAAGCATGGTACCATTAATTTACTTCAAAAGGTTTTTCAACACATTCGTGATAGTTTTGCATAACCCCATTTTGAAAACAAATCATGCAGAAAGTGACCTAACCCTTTATACCCTTTTCATAAACCTATTTTTAGATTTTGTCTTCATGCTTTCTCTCTCCCCCTCCTTGTATATATATAAATATTCTCTTTCCTTATGCTTTTTCTTGCTTATCTGCTGAATGCAACTGCTGTAAAATGTCACATTTTGACCTAACTGGCTGCATGAAGAGGAAGAGAGGAGAGAGAGTTTTCAAGTTCAAGAACTTTGGAAAAGAGGGCTTTCCAGTAGAGTTTAATGGTTCATTTCTGCAAAATGTGAAAGCCCTCTTGGAAATAGGTGTTTTGGAGAAAGGTTTATGTGGTGGAATGGCAAGTTGGTCCTTTCAGCTTGAGGTTAATCGACATCCTCCTGTTTATATCTTGCTCTTTGTTGTTGAAGAACCGATTGAGCTATCACTGCATCCTCATTGCAAGCATTGCCAGTATATTGGTAAAGTATGAACAGTATATTTTTGTTGTATGCCAACCTAATGTTGCTTGGTTCGGGTTGTGCTCACTATAAATCCGGTTTATATTGTATACTAGTTGTATTCGTATCTTATTTTTTAAAATTTTATCATATTTGTATCGTATCATACTCGTATCATGTATTCATATTTAAATAAGTTCACAATTAAAAGAGAATATTGGAGATAAACAAAATGAAAGGAAAATGAAACACAATAATGTGGTTCGATAAATTACCTATATTCACAGATCTAACGCCCTATGGGCTACATCGATGTATTATTATTGAAGATGATTGATTACATAAGGCTCAACCCAATAAGGTGAAAATTACACAAGATAAAGAAAAGATAAATTACAAGTCTATTATCATCTGTACTTATCCAAATAAAACTAGAAATCGATGGATTCTATCGTATCTCTACCTAGATATTGATGGATTACCTCTGATTCCATCATATTCTAATAATATCGTATCCGTATTAAATATCTGTATCCATATTCATACTTGTTAGATCAAACCTAATGACATTTTCTTCAAAAATCTTGAGCATCCTTTTTCTTTTGAAATATATTTGGTAGAACTTGATCTTGATATTAAAGTTGTATGTATCGCTTGCTAATGTTTTTTTTTTTTTAATATGTCTTAAAGAAAACTGGTAATTTCATGAAAAACGAAAACATATTCAATTAACATTTTTTTTTTGTTTATATGAGGTATGTATGATAATAGACAAGAAAAATGCAAAAATAGTAATAAGGGTTAGCAAATACGTTAAAAAAAAACTTAAATAATGCAAAAAACCAAAAAATTACATGAAAACATCGTTGTTAAATGGGACCTTCGTTAATCATGCACGTAGTCATATACATACACATACACTATCCCCCTCGGCTGGGTTCTTTTCGTGGCCTTCTACAAATGAACTTATATTGTTAATAACACAATATCTTCGTAGAAACGAGAGATGGTTGGCATCTCCCTCGACAGGACCAGGAACAGCCTTTGGACTTACCTGTTTCCATACACATCCGGTTAACTTAAGGCTACCCACCTCGGTGGATCTTCTATATTATTATTAGAGTAATACTATTGAGACTTAATTTACTGACATAATTCACTATGACATTTAGATTGACTGTGAGATTCATCAAACATTGAAACTTGGTGTTAATCCAATGAAACTACGTCATTAGATCAGCAAATTATGTCAAATTTTTAAGTCCAAATAGCATTTTCCTTATTAATAACATGCAATGCGGGATTGTGGAAGATGACAGCATTGTTTTTTTCTCTCATGGTGCTATTGATTCCTATGAAGCTCAGGCTGGGGGCACCATATGATATGCAATAATAAGTACCACTTCTTGGTACCCTCCAAGGACACTGTCATGGCTTGTACGAGCTACCAAGGAAACTACGACGACGTCGGTGCAATTCCAGCAGAGGGTAAGTTCAATTTGATAGAGTCACAAAGCCATACTATGCATGGTGTCTTTCACTCTAATGGGTTTGGCCATTTGTTGTGTGTCAATGGAGTTGAGGCGGGTTCGGACATGGCTGGACACCAGATCATGGAATTTTGGGATCGACTCTGTACCGGATTGCATGCAAGGTTAGACTACACCGTACGACTCATCTTTTCCCTTCCTCAATGTTCATAAACTACTTGGAAGTCACAAATATTTTCATCTTGAAAATTGATTCTATGATTTTTCAGCACCATATATAGGAAAATGCAATCTTGTAATCTCCAATTCAACTCAAAACTAACCCCATCTTGTTTTAATCAAAAGTTTTAGTGACACTAGTGATATACGACATGTGTTGTATGTGAACAATTTAAATATATATATATTTTTTTGTTGAATCTATGAAAATATAAATTTTATGTGTAATTAAATTAATTGATAAATTTGGTGTCAAATTATATAAAAAAATGAGCAATGCTATTGAGAAATAATTTGAGAACATAATGAGTTATCACAAATGAAATGATGGTGAATTCGTTTAATGCTACAATGGGACCCAACATTAAGTATATTTCATCATCATTTTATTGGTGACAACTTATTATGTCCCTAAATTATGTCCATAAATTATGTGCCAATAGCATTAGTGATAAAAAATATAGATTATATGTGTAACTGAATTGAATAAATAAATTATGTATTTGAATTGACTAAATAAATTATGTGTTGAAGAATTAATTTT